GACGTGTTACAGGTGACAGCAGGTGGGTGACAGCAGGTGGCAGCCAGCACGTTCAACTAAGTAATTGAATTGGAAATATCCGGTGTCGATACACGCACATCGATTTTCTATTTCAGCTGATTGCGAAATTGTAGAATAAATTCCAAAAAATGCACTTCAGTGATGGTGTTTACTGCCAAACAAATATACTATTCATTGTTCCATCGATGCCGGGACAGCTGTACATTTAGCGGCATTCTCGGGGAGCAATGACAGCTAACAACGAAATTGTAGCAATGTTTCCAAAAAATGCACCTCAGTGATCTTGTTTATAGTAAACAAAGATGATGACATTTGCTCCACAGCGCGGCGAGGCCTCAAGGATCCTGAATGGGTAGGATTTTAGTGATATCATGCTATTCTTTCTTGGTGACTCTCAATGTAGTATTGTACAAGCTATATGTACACATAATGGAACATAAGTACACATATTTTATACCTCGAAGAGCTCCGATGAAAGCTTTTAAACAAACGAAGTGTTGATGCTGGGTGGAGCAAGGGTGGGGCAATGGTGGAGCGAATCTCATAATTTTTGTTTACTGTAAACAAGACCACTAAGGTGTGTTTTTTCAAAACATTGCTACAATTTCGTTGTTAGCTGGAATTGGTAGTTTGTTTATAGGTAAACACGATCGGAAAAGCGCGTTTTTTTGGAATTCATTCTACTCGCAATCAGCTGTTATACAATCCTTAGCGTTGCCTGCGGCAGCAATCCCCGACTCCACAAAGCGCAAAGCAGAATAATTGATTTCACGAAGCCGGAAGGCCTCGTTTTCATGTTAGTTACTGATGGCAATGTACAGGGTCACATTGCTCCGGTTCGAACCATGCCAGTGTCTGGCCCAGTCTTCGGACCCGCAGCAACAGCAGATATTCAACGGAACATATTGAACAGCATTTCAATAGGTAGCCACACGTTTCAAAACAATTTTTTCCGGGATGGGCTGGGGCCGGACTGTAGAATCATGCGTCAAGGTGGTGCGTCACGCGTTTTGGTGATGCGTATGTGTAAGTGGCAATTTTTCAGAATGTGGTTTAGGAACGGCAATGACTGGAGTACTGTACATTCCAGGTAAAAGGTTAGGCCCGAAGGTACGTGAAAAGCGACCTTTTGCAATCTCCACCTCGCGCTGACTATTGCTAGAATCGCGCTCTAGACTAGGTGCCCACGAATTATCCCATGTTTCGGGGTAACCATTTGCAAGTCCAGTATTTGCCCATGGCCAGAAGCCTTCTCGAAGACCTATTAGAACCGATTTCATAAACGGTCGATTCGGATGTCGTTGTAACAATGCTTCAAGGTGATCAGCATTAATAACCTGGTTAACATGGAACAAGTCTGGAAATTGCGAAATCGTATTCATAGCGGCTCTGTTTTCGAATTCTTTTGTCGGTGGTCTAGGTAAAGGATCATCGACTTCCGAGTATGCAATGGTACGGCTGCGACAAGGGAGCACACCATGTCTCCAACCAATGCCCCTCAAATACTTCCGTAAGAAACAACCATTTTCTCCTATAGCACTAATGCAATCGAGCTCAGAAAGGTCTTCACCATACGCTTCTCCAACAACACCCCTAGCATGTGCCGCGACCACGAAAGCCGAGAGAGCAGACCCGGCAGCAAACTCAGGTTGCCTTTTCCCCTCGGCTATGGCAATCTCTGGCGACATGGTCGGTAGACCCGCAGTGGATACAGGTATGTCTAAAGACACACTTCTCTCTCATGCAAGACCTGAAATTCCAGTTTCTGCAGACTTTGATACCTTGTTTCCATTTCTGAGCCGACTTTCCAAACCCAACATTCGTGCTTGATCCGACAACCGCAATTCCTCCTGTATCAACATGGGTAGCCTTGATGAAGTTGAATTTGTTGATTTCATGTAAGAGGATGTCACGTCGACTTCCGACATAAATACGGGCCGCCCGGTTATAGTTGATAATTCGGTGGTGCAATGAGGTATGGGTTGTCGCGAAGAGATTGTTGATATGGTCTGAATATCCTAACTCGAACTCTCTGCCTTTGAAAGCGAAATGTACGGCTTGCTCGTAAGTGCGGAACGCATTAAGCCATTGATCATGTGAGGTGATTTTCGAAACCACTCTAGGTTTTTTGAACTCCAAGGTAGTACTTCCGACAAGGAAAACGCCTTGATATTCCGCTTCCGTTGTGAAGGAATGGCCAAGGATTTCGTCGAGATTGACATAGTTGTCGAGGAGCACGTTTGTCCATTGCGCTTTAGGTAAGGATGGTTTATTGAGGGCAATGTCCAAATCCTTGAGAGCATCTTTGATGCCTGCGGAGTACTGGGCAATTTGTTGGCCTAACTCCTCATGAGCTGGGGAGAGGACTGCAGCATACAGGTTTTGGTCTTGATTCCAGTGAACCTTTGACTTGTCAATTCGACGTTTTTTCGTAACAACATTTGAAACTTCTTCTTCCCCATTGTCTCCTGTGTCCAGCTCTGTAGATCTCCGAACCAACTGCTGGACTTCCTGGCCAAAATCACCTGTGCCGCCCTCTCCAATCCCTTCGACAGTCCTAGCGTGTCGACCTTCTTTGTCCTGCACTTGACCTCTTTTCGCCGAGTCATCTTCAAGCCATTTAGAAACCTCGATCTCGTCAATGTAAGGCTGAATAACCGAAACCTCGAATAGGATGTTAAGCTTTGCACAGATTTTCGCTGCTTCAGCAGTGAGATTTGCGATCGTAACTGCTTTTTCGGTGTCGACGTCAATGAACTGCTTAACAATCCGTTCAAGGAATTCAATTTCGTCGGCTGGAAGACGTGAAGGTCCTTCTGGAGAGCCTGTTGTTAGTGTTCCTCCATTGGACATAACGTATGATATTTAGATGAAAACTACGTTTATTTTGTGGCGCGAATAATACAGATGACTAGCGAGACGAAAGGAAGAATAAGCTGAGACACCTATGGAGTCTCGCCAGGAAGAAGGTAGCTTTGCTTAATTGAGTTGGTCAGCTGCAATCTCAGCGCTCTGAGATGCTGAGGTACTAACCTGGTACGATGACATGCTTTTAACCCGTGCACAGGTGAGAGTCATCGTTGCGTCACGCATAAGCAGGCTGGGACGCTCAGGCTAGTGCAATGTGATTTTGCTCATCCTCCCTTGTTGATTAGCCTCTCGTAATCAAGGATTAAGTCCAATTTATAGCACGTCTAAGTCTTGTCTTTTTTTTGTTCGGTTTTTTGCTCTGATTGAGCTTTGAGAGCAAGCTCAAATAGGGTGCCCGGGTCTGCATCGTCTATGGCGTGGTACGAATTAGGAAAGGGGGAGGGGGGGTCCGGGCTCACCTCTTGATTTTCCCCCGCTGCCAGCGCCTAATTTACCTGTTTCTTACTTACACCCATCTTCTCTACCCTTCCTGTCTTTACTATGGTCGCTATCCAGAATTTCGGTCCCGCTGTTACAGAAACTACATCGCTATCTCCAGAGATACCCCTGCCTACGCCTTCAATCACGACTCTTACGAACAACCTACACGACTTACGCTCTTTTCAATTTCGCCCAGTAATCATACTCAGTGCTGCCGGACTCGGACTTGTAATCGCCCTTGCTGTATTTGTATTTATCTGCTGGAGAACGAAAAAATCAACGTTTGGTAACAAGGCGGGGGTAGCAAAGGTGAGTGTTTGCACGGTTTGGCCAGCCCCGTTCGTCTCCTGATTTCCATACTCCCAGACGAAAGTTAGTCTGGATAATCCATACGGCAAGCTCAAACTGCTCAAACTGCTTGAAGATGAAAAATACGCCATCACCGACGCCATCTCTCTCCCAAGCAAACCGCCAAACTCGCTCCGTCCTCATCGCCCACGCCAGCCCAGTATCAAAAGCAAACCTTCAACTGCCATTCCCTCTCGCGCCAACTCTGCTGCGCACCCAGCTCCTCCGTTCCCCATGCCTGCATTCACCCTGGACGATATCCCTGCTCTGTGTTCTCCGCCGTCAACCTCTCCCAAAGAAATCTTCGGTTGGATTCAGTCGGACTCGGTACTCTTATGGAACGATGGGTATTCTGTTGCCAGAGAAGATTCCCGCTTGTTCATCTCTACTGCGTTTCAAGATCCCATCTGCTGTCCTCCTGACGCGAAGGCGGGTACAGGTTCAACCAATACGAGAAGCAACGCCAAGGCTAAAACGACGTCCACTCTCGCAAATGAAGCTGTAAAATCGCGTAACTCGCTATTCTCCTCTTCCACACTCAATCGAACGAGTCGAAAAAAGCAACTTGGGTCCGCATCGCTGTGTTTTTCTGCTGGGCCTCGCTCAATCTCGTCCTCGACAACTATCTGCTCTTCTCCTTCTCCTCGTCCTCAGCCACTAACGCAAAGTCAAATGAACGGCGCCACACTCGTTCCAAGTATGCGCGATCTTTCGGATGATCTGGGCCCCTTGGAGCAAGGTACAAGGTGGGGATTGAATTGGTACACGCTTGAGAAGCCGGTGTCGATTTCGAGGCTCAAAGTGGAGGGGATGAATGGGAGGGGGAAGGATAAGAGGAAGGAGAATAGCAGTTTGCGGGTTAAGCTTGGGAAGGAGAATTTAGGCGTTTGACTGGCGCGCGGCGTCACTGGCCAGGATGGGGAGGTCTGGTCCTGCTTGCAGTTCGGTCCGTTTTGGTCCCTCTTTCGTTTTGTTTCCTTCTACCCTGCGCTGTCCACTCAAACTACTTATTTCGTTCGTCTCGGCATGATTTCATGCCCAGCTTTTTCTTTACGTTTACTTCACGAACCTAACGATTGCATGATTAGCACCGCTTCATAATTTGTTACCCTACGACATCGCTATCCCACTCTTAATCCAAGCCTACGTTATCGATAATTAATCTATGTACGATGTACATCTGCTTTATGACCGTTGCTACGCATACTGTACGTCTCAATGTGCGCAGGATAGTCAGGCTTATCCGCCGCCATGGTTTGCTTCCGTGATTGTTGTAGCAATCCTTCTTAGCTCAGTTGGTAGAGCGCGTCACTAGTATATGTAAATTTCTGGTGGTTAATTGAATACTATGACGAGGTCAGTCGTTCGAGTCGGCTAGAAGGAATCACCTGGTTTAACTTCGTTTTTTTTTGATTTCCGCCGTCACTTGCCTGTATTATTTGGTGGATATCGTACGACCTCGGAATCTCACTCGGCTAACTTCACAACAGCATATTAAAGAACCACTAGCGAAGATGAATGGTCAGAAGCAACTCGGATGTACTCGTAATAGATCTGGTCTGTCAATGCTAGCGGCGAGATGACTGAGGAGATGGAAGCGAAGAGACAGCAATTGTTTCCATTTCTTCGCTGCCGCTCCGCTGAAAGTTGTCCATTGGATTATCTTCTGATCAACTACTTTGGTCTAGCATCGAGATGACTGAGGAGATGGAAGCGAAGAGACAGCAATTGTTCCCATCTCTTCACTGCCGCTCCGCTGAAAGTTGTCCACCGGATTACCTTCTGATCAACTACTTTCGGTTTCTCGGGTGTGTCGATGCTAGCGGCGAGACGACTGAGGAGATGGAAGCGAAGGGACAGCAATTGTTTCCATCTCTTCGCTGCCGCTCCGCTGAAAGTTGCTCACCGGATTCCCTTCCGATCAACTACTTTTGGTTTCTGTAATTATGATGCACTGCAAATACATGTCAAATCGGGACGGACTAGGGACCTGTATCAAGCATTAAGTAAGTATCAGTGGTTGTCATGTTCGGCTCAGGAGGTTCACGCTACTGTATCATAGTGAAAGCAGATAATAAATATGGTGATTGTGCATATCATGATGGAAGCATTTCTGTACAGACTGTGCTGGTTCGCAATGAATGGGATGGGGCCATGTTGTGAGTGTGTTTGCGCATGGTTTTCTGCTAGTTCCTGTTTCTTAGGTGCAGGGGGTCTATATGCCAGTGGTCTAATCCTCAGGCAGGTCCTGAGCTTCTGTAAATTAGATCATGAGATATATTTTTGGGATTCTGCGCCATACATCAATAGTTGGGACAATGGGCTGATGGACTCAGCATGATAATTGAACATATGATAGCACATCCATCTTTTGATCTATCGAGTTGCTACCGAGTCACTAAGAGCTCTAAGGGTACTGTGGATGATATAAAAACTAGGATTGCTTCCTCTAACCAATACCTCTCCCAACCATCAGAGTGTAGCATTGCTGGTAATGTCAACCTCACCCCCAGAAGTCCTGTATTCTTTCAAACAGGCTTTACAAGCTTCTTTCTCCATGTTGATGGTGAGTCAGTGTAAGTTAATGCCTACCCAGTGGAACTTCGACCGCAATGCCGTTTTTTTCAGGCTGAACTGGTTTTATACGGTCAGTGTCTGAATTGTTAATGATTATATACAGCACTGAACAATTGAAATTTACCAAACAAATATTTACAGGAGCATATACGATCGTGTTTGGTCTCTACACATATCTTGAAGTTCAGCAACGAGGGAGGCGGCACTATTATCATGTGTCCCTCTTCTTCCTCTTTCTCTTAAGTACCGCTGCCGTAGCTGTCTCAATCCAGAATGTAGTAGAGCTGAGTACATTGACCTTGGCCGCTGGTACACCTGGGTTATCTCCAATGACTAACTCAATTGGCAATCTCGAGTATGAATAATCTTGCCTGCTTTTGCCTAATAACTCTAACTTTGCCTGTGGTCTCATTAATAATTAGGACTGCAATGAGGGGGATTTATACCACCGCAAAGTGAGTATCTAGATTAAGTGCCCTGCCAATTATCAAGTTGAAGAAAATTCTGTTACCGTCAATAGTATCATAGCCGATGCTTTATTGGTCTGTCCAAGCACACTTGTTGTATTACTTTTGCACCATTTCTGACAGCACTCTGTAAAGTTATATCGCTGTTATGTTGTATGGGCATCAAGGAAATGGGTCATAGCTGGTCCTGGAATGATATCTATCATAAACACTGGTGAGCTGTGACTATTTGAAGAAACAAAAACATCGAATGATCAGCGAGACTCTCTTTGGCACTACATAGGATTTGCAATCACATCTGCAGTATTTGAAGAAAGGTTGTTCGGCAGTCTTCTTGAATCAACATCTGAAGACTACTTCAAAATGGAGAGATCTTTGTTTAATGCATTTCTAGGAGTGAATCTCTTCACAAACTTCTTGTTAACAGGACTGATAGGCAAGTCTGGCAGATTGCAGAAAATGTTTCACTTTATGATTTTGATGTAGCTGGAAGGCTCTGGTGGATATCTCATACCACTCAGGAGTATTTGGGACATGATCCATCCAATGGCAAGAGGATGCATAATATTGTTGCAATGATGTTCATCTCTTAATGGCTTACCCATGCATTATTCATTATTAACTGGTCTGTTTTTAGACTTGAGTCAGGCTTGCTGTATCCTTTTGCTCTGATTGCCTGTATCAGCGGCATTGCTTCAAGTCCCAGTCAAGAAAATAATATTGGTCCGCAAATGGAGCAGATACTGACTGTCATTGTAGTATGAACATTTTTACATGATACATATATACTGTGCATCTCACCTATTGAATACAGGGCATTGCTTCCACGATGATAATGGTCAGAGTCAATTTAGGAATCAGCATTGAGACCACTTCCACTGCCAGCTCCGACTCGGATGCTGGCGGCAAGAGCATTTCTGATTTGGAGGCACAGAAACTGTCGCATTTCCATTCCCAGCCTCAAGCTTTGGAGATTCCCCGTCCCTTCCCTCTTCTTTTACTGCACACCAGTCAAACCCAGACAGATGCTACTACTTTCACCGCAGCTTCTGCATCAAATCCCTTACCTCAGAAGTATCAGACTATCAATGTTAGAGAATGTGTGGGAGCATTCTAGATTGATATCAAGTCATGTCCGACACGCATGTCGAAAACATCGGATTATTGTTCAGCCACTCCGCAGAATATCTCATGTATAAATAGTCCATAGTTATCATAAATTATTATCCATCCTTGTATTCCCCCATTTTTAGATCCCTCCTCAGTTGAGGTCAAGCATATATAAAAAGCCTAAAAAAGATATCATGTTGTCTTTGAGATTTATCTGGGTCAGGGAGCCCAAAAAAAAATTTTCAGATTTTTCCATATTTTATTTGAATTTATATAGCCTCCCAAAAAGGAAATTTAGGGGGGAGGGAGGGTCCTGACTCCTGAGGCCTAAAGGAAAAATTCAAAAGATTCCAACAGCCCAATTCATCCAGAAAAATGTTTAGAAAGAAAAAATCAATTTTGTCCATAAAAGTCTAATTTCCCAGAGAACAGCTGAGCTGATTTACAAACACAGACCAAATTTGGATTCCTGGACCCATTTTTCTACATTTTGCGAACCCCTTGGCTGAGGTTGTATCAACTACGCTTGTTCATTGACAACCTCGCCCAAAGAAATCTTCGATTGGATTCAGTCGGACTCGGTACTCTGTTGGAACGATGGGTATTCTGTTGCCAGAGAAGATTCCCGCTTGTTCATCTCTACTGCGTTTCAAGATCCCGTCTGCTGTCCTCCTTACGCGATGGTGTACACAGGTGGTACAAGTACGAGAAGCAACGCCAAAACCAAAACGACGTCCACTATCGCAAATGAAGCTGTAAACTCGCGTAATTCAATATTCTCTTCTTCCACGCTTACTCGAGCGAGTCGCAAAAAGTAACTTGGGTCTGCATCGCTGTGTCTTTCTGCTGGGCCTTCCTCAATCTCGTCCTCGACAACTGTCTGTTCTTCTCCTTCTTCTCGTCTTCAGCCACTAACGCAAAGTCAAATGAACGGCGCCACACTCGTTCGAAGTATGCGCGATCTTTTGGATGATCTGGGCCCCTTGGAGCAAGGCAGAAGATGGGATTAAATTGGTACACACTTGAGAAGCTGGTATCAATTTCGAGGCTCAACGTGGAGGGAAGAATGGGAGGAGGAAGAATGGGAAGGGCGATGGGAGCTTGAGGTTAAGCTTGGGAAGGAAAATCTAGGCATTTGACAGACATGCATCACTGGCCAGGATCGGGAGGTCTGGTCCTGCTTGCAATTTGGTCCGTTTTGGTCCCTCTTTCGTTTATTTTCCTCTACCCTGCGCTGTCCGATCAACCTACCTATTTCGTTCGTCTCGGCATAATTTCACGACCAAGCTCTTTCTTTACGTTTACTTCACGAACCTGATGGCCGCTTCATAGTTTTCTACCCTACGACATCGCTATCCCTCTCTTAGTCCAAGCCTACGTTATCGATAATTAGCCTATGCACGATGTACATCTGCTTTACGACCCTTGCTATGCGTACCGGACGTCTTAATGCGCGGAACAGGATAGTCAGGCCTATCCGCCGTTAGGCCGGTATGATTTGCTTCCGTGGTAATCATAGTAATCCTTCTTAGCTCTGTTAGTAGCGCGATGTAAAAATTTGGTGGTCTATTGAATACTATATGACGAGGTCAGTTGTTCGAGTCGGCTAGAAGGAATTTATATTTTGTAGGCTAGAGTTGCTTTTATGATTGTCCCCGACCCGCAGACTTTTACCCTGTGAGCAATTGAGGTTCTTATGTGAGTCGTGACATGAGAATTCCAGATAATGCCCCGTTTCTCGTTTGCAAGGAAGATAGTCATTTATAAATTTTTTAAGTGTGCTTAACAACATCAAAGGTTACTAGTTTAATACGATTTGCGAGTCACGAATAGTAATCAATGCTCTGCCTTGTCTCTTGAGCCGCTCTCCTAAATCCCTTGGCGGGTCGCAAACCTCTTGTTATGCACTCAGTGAGCACAAGGCCAGCCTCTGCCTTTAAGGGCACTGGCAAGCGGACATCTAGTTGATATCTAGTTGGTAGATAGGTGGATGATATCATAGACGCATAGACGATAAGTCATGAGTTATGAGTTATGAAGGGAATCTATCCAATCAAGATCAGGATTCAGAGTACAGGAACAGAACTGGGTACATGGATACTCAGCTTTGAATAGCGCGGCAGAAAATTGAGGTCAAACAGAGTATTGGTCGCCTGTTCCGCATTTATTGCATCTCTTTGTTATCCCCAGGAGCAAGGATAGAATAGGATAGATAATAAGTTATGTTGGG